TTTATTTGTGCTTAAGCAAAAATTAAATTAGATATCCAATTCTTGTCACAGCGAGAGAGGATCTGGATCCAACTCCAACAATGGCAAATAAGTAGTAATAACAGAGGAAGAAAAGTGAAAGAGTAAAGAGAGAAATAAGAAGAAGTGCAAGAGAACAAGATTTATGTAGGTTAGCTATGACTTCACCCCATCAATAATATATAAGTAAAACAGTGCATTTCACATTTTACTTAAATTTTGAGCGAATAGAATCTTAAAAAATTCATTGTCGATAGTAATTTAAAATAAAATAGTATTTAGATATAAGTCTTATGCTTTTAAAAGACATACTTATTTAGATAGTTTAATAGTGTATTTATAAGGAAATTTAATAACTTATTTAATATCTCGATACGAAGTAGGCCATTAAACAAGCTAATAGATCAAATCAGGCTTTTAAAAAAGGTCAGGCTAGACTTGATAAAAAGCCTATAACAAGTAATAGGTCAGGTTGCCTATTTATGCAAAGTCTAGCGTAGCCTAACCTATTTCCATTCCTAATCACAAGTTGAATATTATAAAAAGGCGACAATCCATAAAAAATTGAAGGGTGATGGCTAAATGAATGAGTATATTATATGATTCATAAATGAGTTAGTAAGATGAAATGTTGTAACAAGTTTTAAAAATTATAATATTTACAATTATATCTTTAATAAATTTCGCAGGGTGAGAATTTTTAAGTATTATATATTTAAAATGTCTTTTAAAAGTGATTTTCTTTAAAAAGTAAATATCTTTTAAAAACATAATTGTAACTGTTATGAAATTAAGTTTCCTTTTTTATTTACATAAAACTCAACCCTATTATCTTAAAATCACTCCCTTTCATTTTTGTTTTTGAAGCTAGTTCAAGCATTTCCTTTGTGTTTCTAACACCTATGAAGCACTCACTCAACTTACAAGAGATTGACTCCTTGTCAGTACACTTTATGTGCTACCCTTGAAACAAAACAAGAAAGCATCTTAAATGCTATGGTACAAGAAGGTTCACCTTGAGATGAGAAAGTAAGGGTGATATGTAACACCCTACATTTCTCCATCTTAAATATATTAAGTTTATAAATTTTAGAAAGAATAATCAAATATTTTCTTATAATAGTTAATCAAAATTTCTAGAGATAAAAACTTTTCATCACAGTTAATTTGTATCTATGAAAAATTTAGGAAAATAAACTACATAATGTATATCACAGAGTAATATTTACATATCATTATCCAAAATATATCAAAGTTTACAACAGTTCATATTCCCTCCCACATATTGAAGACCTGAAACTAATCATATATATCATGTCAGCTCTCAATTTTTGCCAAGTCTTCAGCAGTTAATTCATCATCCTCTCCAAGATATTCGTCACCAGAATCCGCCATCATTTCTATACTAGGGAATCTTTCAAATGTATAACTATTAGGTCTTCCTAACAAATTATGAATAATTTATAATTATAGACTACTTCTAATGTGTACTCTTGATTCTTCTCAAAATGTTATCTAAAATACAATTGTACTACACGTCTATATTTGCTAAAAATATAGTTTAACCTACTACTAGCACAGATATCCACTATATCAATCTGCACAGGATGGGTTATCATCTTTGCTACCTGCAGAGTGGTGTAAAGATGAACAATTATTCTACCTTTCAAACATAACACAATTTCACCATATCACTTATCACAATAATTATAAATATTCAATAATCATCATTTCATATCATATATTAATTATTTTCTTCCCAACATACAAATTCACACAATTTCATTATATTTTTATCATTCTATTTCCAAATATGCACTTTCAGTGTACTGTGATCACAGTCATTCGATACCTCTAGCAGTTCTCGAGATCTTACTCAATCATGTAAATAGTTGTCGGTTAGCTCATGCAATAAAGATACAACGTATGCAATTACGAGCCCCTTAGTAAGGCATAGTCATGAGTGTAGTCAGGAAACGAATGTGAGACCTTGTGGCGCATTTGCACTCAACAATAATATGTGCACAATCGCAAATGTCGCTCATCACCTTACATTTTCTTGAGATTTTCTTATTGTCTCCAGACTCTATACTCGTAGTGAATCTCTGTAACTATTTACACCAATCCATTTAGCTCTTATATTCATTCCATCATCCACTCATAAAATCGTGCTTATTAGCACTTCCAGACTATTTCCATATCGCTTATCACTTACTCATGATCTCAATAATCAAATCATTCAATAAATCATCGATGACACATTCATCATTTTCAGACATATCTCAATAATAAGGTTATATTACATCCAGTACATTCATTAAACTTGTTCAACGATAATAATATGCTTTCTCATCATACATTTCATATTTACATAGTAAAATTAGTAAACCAAAACATCAAACATATTCATATAGAAATCTTTCTGCATTATTACCTATTATTCATACATATGTCATAAAAATGCTATGTAAACATACTCTCCTAGGCTTAACATATGACTTATAATACATAATGATAAAATAGAGCCCCTCTTACCTTAAAATGAAGATCTAAATGAAGGTTGATGATGAAGAATATCCTAAAATAACACTTTTACCTAGGTAACACGAATTTATCTCTTAAGAACAAAATTCAAAGAAAATGAACAGTAAAAATACAATTAAACTCAGAGAAACTTACTTAGAATCGTGTAGGACGATTCTACGTTCTTAAATTCGAAGAACAATCAAGGTTTTAAGGAGTTTTATCTAAAAAAGAGGGGTGAAAGTTGAGAGGAATTAGAGAGAACGTGAAAATGGTAGAAAAATATGATTTTTCATGCAAAAAAAATCCTTAAATACCCTTAAAATTGCGATATTTTCGCTACAGCGAGGTACTTTCTCGCTACAGCGAGACACTTTCTCGCAGCAGCAAAAATATCAGATAAAATTGCACTCTTTCTTCTATACTTTTCACTACAGCGGGAATTATCTCGCTACGATGACAGCCTTACAGTTCAACACTTCAAAACTCTCTCAACATACCCTTACATGCATGTTTATCATATAATGTAATTTTAATTAATACAAAAATAAGGATATTACATGATCCATCTCTTTTCTTCGAATAGTTTGATAGATTCAGTAGTTGTAGTTAAAATTTAAACAAAAAAAAATTAAAAAGGATATCTAAGACAAAAGATGAAATTGAATCAAGTATTCCCCGTTTGTAATAGTATTGTAGAAGCTTTGTTTAATTTTTCTTTATTTTCCATCCCAAATAATATGCAAACATATTTTCCAAATTTAACAACTTAAATAATCATACTTTCTTTGCATTGTCATACTTTGAATTGTGATATTTGTAAATGGAACCAATTAAATTTGTAAATATCATATACTCATCCCAATTCTCTTAGAAAAAACAAATTGACTAAATTAGAATAGAGACAATAATTAAAGAGATGTGGTTGAATGCTAAAAAATGCAGGACAATAATTTTCTGTAATTTTCACTTAAGTTATATAATATTTGTTTAAGCTAATTTTATACAATAATGAATATACAAATTTGGCCAAATTCGCTTAAAACATTATTTTTAGCTTAAGTCAAGTCAATTTTACTTAAGCTATAATAATTTAACGTAAGCAAAAGTATGATACTCAATTTCACTTAAGCTAGATTTTATTCGTTTAAGTGAATATTAGAATACTTTGTGTGGCTTAAGCGAAATAATGATTGCTTAAGCGACATTCATTCAGTGAGCCATTTTTTTCCCTTGTAACCTTCACTTAAGTAAGGAAAACATGGCTTAAGCGAAATTTGCAGAAATTATGCATAACAGATACAACCAATGTAGAGGAAGGGCATGAGAAAATAAAATTTGTTGCTATAAAAAAACACAAAAATTTATTATTTTTATAAAAAAATTTAAAAAAATTTAGGTCATTAACCTTCGTAACTAAAATTTACTATAAGAAATTCTTATATCAATATTTAAATTACACGATTGCTATGAGTTGGATATCAACAAAATGTTTTAAGAAAATTGAAAATTAATTTTATTTGAGTGATTATAATTTTTTTTTAAAAAAATAGACTGAAATTATAAAATTTTGAAAATAGTAATAACATAACTTTTTAACACATTTTAAATAATTAATTAAAAATTAAATAAATATAATATATAAATATTAATTTAAGAATAAAAAAATAAAACATATGAAATTTTTGTAGTTTTTAATGAAAAATATAAAGAAAAAAAATATTAAAGAGTTAATTTAAGTATTTACTTTCTACTAACGTAAAATAATGCCAGAAGAAAATCTTAAATTATTCATATCAATAAATGATATAATTAAAATTTGACAAAAAAAATTATTAAAATCATATTTATAACCATTATTTTTATAAAAAAAATATAATTAAAATCTAACAAAATTTCTGATTTTTTATATTTTTAAAACTATTTTTATTTAAAAATAATATTTTATCTTTATAATTTATAATGATATTAAATATTTATTTTTATTAAAATAAAATTTTAATTAATATTAAAAATACTTAAAAAATTATACTTGATATTTATTCTTAATTAAACGAGTAATTAGAGTTAATTAAGAAAAGTGAAAAAAGAAAAAACGTAATGTATAGTATAGGAGGTCAAAAGGAAGGTAAAGACACCGCCAATGAATCGTGACCGTCGGTGAGGTTGATTGGATAAGAGTTATCAGGAGTCAGAGGAAGAATCCAACGATCCGCAACGTATCAAACAGAAATCAAAAATCGCAAACTCAAAACCATTCTTCTTCCTCCCAAACCGAAGACTTCAGATCTCAGATTACATCTTTTCCTTTCCGTACCTTTCTCATCCCTGTCTTAACTCATACACATAGACAACGCCAATTCAATTAAACGTCGTCGTTTCTCTCTCTTTTCCGATTTTAGGGTTTTTGTAATGGGTCTTGGTACCGAGGAGGAAGAGGATAATAACAATAGCAATAATAACGTGGTGGATGACGGAGATGATGGAGGAGGAAAGTCTTTTGGTTCAGTGTCTTGTTCCATTTGCCTCGAGATTGTTGCCGATAATGGGGAGAGATCCTGGGCTAAGCTTCAATGCGGTCATCAATTCCATCTCGGTAACTATAATTTCTCTCTCTCACTGCCCGAGAATGCGATGGAATGAATAATAATCAAGGAATTTGAACGATGTTATACATCTTGTGTGTTCAAACACCGATGCCTCAATCGATTTTAACTACGACAATTGAGATCTGGATTTCTGTTTTTATTTTATAATTAATGTTTTTATCAACTATGCTTGACTCTTACTCTCGATGATGTGTTCATTGGCGTTGGGGTTAGGAAACCAAGAGAAATTTTTTAGGTTATGGGATCCTGTTTGTTGTTGTGTTGATTTGTTTAAAAGGAAAATTGGGTGCATTTACTGATTATGGCCAAAAGGGCAGCTTTGTGAGAGTCCTGTCGTGACGACAGAATATGGATGATTGGGTATATGTATTTTTTTTGGAAACTATCAGATTTAAACAAATTTTGCAATTTGGATTCGTCACGGTTGTCGTTTGGCGATGAAGATGATTGGGCTTCCATGTTTTGTTATGGTGAAGTTAGCTTTTATGACGGACTTGTGGAAATGTAGATCAGTTTCCAAGATTTGCAGTGGGTAGGAAATCATCTATATGTGTGCGGAAATTTGGCACTGTCTTGGTCTTGTTTAATTGCTCAAAAACCCAAATTGTGACATTTTGACTAACTTTCTGTATGTTTTTGTTTAATTACTCGAAGGTTTCCATGTTTTTGAGTTGATTAGCTGATAGATGTTGTCAATTGTATGAACTTTCCCCCTCCAAAACTAAGGATCATGACATGATTCTGTTTTGCAAATATAGAATCCACAAATTAGAATAGCGGAGCGGATTTGAATAGCCGCTGTAGCACAGCTACAGTGGCACTAGAGTGAAACTTAAAAAGAAAATCGCGGGCTAACTTGTAGAATCATGCGATTTTACGATCCTAAACCACCATGCCGTGTTGGCTTGCAAGCAAGATTGGAGATTTGAAAGATCGCATGAAATCGCTGTGCAAGATCATAAAATAGGTAGGCTCGCGTGATTCTGCCATGTCTGTTTTATCTTGTTTTGGCTTTTTGACTGCTGACATGTTTATTGATCCAATTGCTTTATAGTTGTCAATAGCATGGCGGTGCCTGGCAGAGCAACCTTTGGCTGCCACAGACCTGCCATAGCGGAGCGTTTTGCTGTGGTGGTCTTCGCAGCTGTATTTGCAGCCATCGTAGCTTAATTTGCGGTGCAACAGTGCCACTAGAGTAAAAATGTCGACTTTCCCTCTCTATACCCAGAACAAAGCAGTTTTTAGGGCTTTTAAGGGTGAAAAAGACTTTTTTTATCTTCTAAATATAAACTGACTTTCCCTTCTTGCCCTTAAAATGACCTTGTTTTAAGTTTTTTTAAGGGTAACATAGTCTTTTCATTAGAATAAATCACCTAATCCATCTTTTCCTTCTCCCTGTCTCTGATCTCCATCTCTGTCTCTGTTTTTAGTGGGTGTGTCCCTTTCTCTGTTTTGAGTTGAGGGTAGCTCCCTTCCTTTATGTCTTTGTTTAGCTTCTCTCATCTTCATATTTATATTATTTTATATGCATATATACAATTTTGTAGGGTCTTACGATCTGTGTTACGATCTTTACGAGTTACGATCTTTGACACCTTCCCTGGATCCTACATAGAATTTTGATTTTGACTACCATGTGTTTATTGTTATTTACTTGTATGTTTTGCCTCAGAACTATGACTTCTTATTTTTAATTATGAATATGTCATTGATTTTGAGTTTCTTATAAATCTTTTAGCACTTTTATATATAGTATAAATTATTTAATTTATATATAAAGTTTCTAAATAACAGTCATCCTGGTGTGTGCTATCCCACTATAGCATTTTTGGTGTTGGCCGCTATGCGCCGCAGTCCGAGATTGATAGCTATGATTTTGACAATTACACTTAAAATCAAGTTCTGTATCTGTTTAATTTAATAGGGCACTTGGAGGAATAGTCTCCATATGCATATATGAAGCGAGCTTTTCTATGATAATGTTCAAATAATATTGGATACCGACCGCTAAGTAAACAATAATAATGAATTACCCCTTCATATTAGCTCTAAAAATATAGTTCTCTTTGCCAGAGGAATAACTTCAATTGGTCTTCTATAGATGCTTATGGTTTTAATTGAATTAGCAGTGGTAATTTCAATTTTCACAGGTTCTTTTGTTGGTAGTTTTGTTTTATGAATTTAATGCATCAAGATCGTCATTTGATTACAAAAGATTTATTAAAAATAATAGAATCACTTTTGTTATTGTAGTTGGTACACATCTGGACTGATGAAGATGCTTACCACTTAAATTATTTCATGCATATTAAAACTAAAATTCAAGTATTAATAGAAAACTAAAAGGCTCTATGTGATGGTTCTATGGGTGAACAAATCCAATCCTGACACTTTAAAAGTATTTTTATAACTTGTTATGTTAGATAAAATGGAAAATGAGTTGTATCTCTAAAATAATTCATCGTTGGCATATGGTTTAAGTGTTTGATGTTGTTGGTTATACTTTTATGGTTACTTTCGGTTAAATTTTGGATAATTATGGAGTTGATGTAGTTAATTACTTATATTGTGATTGTGACTGTAGTTTTTCACGTACAATTAGTAGTTTTATTTGTATATGCTGTTGTTATGTTGAATTTATATTTAAATATATTAAACATGTTCAATATAACATGAATGGGATTTATCTGCGAAATAGCATGTGCTGCATTATGCATTATTCACTGTAATATTAAAAGCTTCTGTCTCTATATGTGCGCTATTTGCTGTAGTAAGTGCTTTTGTTGCTATATGTGCAATACTGACTGTTTATAAATGTGTACAAGTGAATGCTATTTGCATACGTTTATGTGAATATGACAAGATAACAAGGTGGTCATTCTAGGGCCCTGTTGAAGATTGTTGTTTTCTTAAAGTAAGTAAAGAATTTTTTATGGAAAATTGGGTCAATATGTATGTGGTATTGAATTCAATGTGGTGGGATATCACATCCCAGTTTGGAATGTTAGATCAACCCGGAAACATGAAAAATCTCATTTCAAAAACCATTGTATTTTAAACAGCAACTTTCTGAGATTACCTTATCAGTGAAGGCTTCTTTTTTAAAAGGATGGATAGTCCTTTGAGTCCCTTCCCCCCCTTTTTTATCATTTTTGGGAGGCAAAGTGAACACTCACATGTATCTTTTCTCTTGTTTTTCTTATGCAGTTCAGTAATATTCAAGTCGTTCGAATATAGAAGCAATAGCAATGTCATGAATGTGTGCATGCGAGGGATTTCTTATGTTTGGTTTATGCAGACTGCATATAATAGTCCCTTGTATCCCATGAATCTCATCAAAGTTGCAAAAGCTAACTCCTTTGAAAGACCATAATTTGGCACTCAAAATATGGTCACAGACTTGTCATAGGCTTAATTAAATAATAAATATCAACTATATATTTCTTCTATTTTATTAGTACTACGTACTGATAGCAAGCTTAGAAAACGTTGATAGTTCTCAACCAGTGATAAAAGAAGATGAACTTGGAAATTACATTTGGTACATTGTGGGGTCTTCATTAAAATTTGAGCTTTTATACCCATACCCAAATCTCCATGCACCCCAACTGCATAAGCTGTTCAGTTGGGGACATGCAGATTGGGAAAGCGGAAAATTTAGAGGGCCTACGTTTGAGTTTTTTGAATGTTTGCCACCTATTGTCATACTTGTTTAATTGCTAATCTGCTAGCTTTCAAGTTTTTACTTGAATTAATTTTTAACAAGCTGATAGATTCATCTAGCTCCATCCACATGGCATCTTATTCTTATTCCTATTATTACTTTCTTTATATTATTTAGATTGCATTGGTTCGGCATTCAACATAAAAGGAGCAATGCAATGCCCTAATTGTCGGAAGATTGAGAAAGGTCAATGGCTTTATGCAAATGGTTGTCGGTCATATCCAGAATTTAGCATGGATGAGTGGACACATGATGAGGACCTTTATGATCTTAGCTACTCTGAAATGGTAATAGTCCTGACATATTACGATTTGTTTGTATTCTATTTTATGCTTTCAGCTGAACACAGCCTTGCATAAATATTTCTAATGATTAGGTATTCATATTCATGTGAGGGAGAGTGAGAAATTGCAAGTTTCTTGTCTGCTTGTCTTTATCAAAAAGGTTTTTCCCTGAATGCTTCTTTGGGAAGGCAGTTAGCTATGTGCCTTTCTCCATTAGCATTACTATTTAAAATTGTATGAACTATGAAATTATATACAAGCAGAAAAAAGTAAAGTTATGGGCTAAATTTAAGATAATGGGGAAGCTGCATACATTTAGGTACTCAAATCACTCCTGTACATTTTAGCATCCTGTACTAAGTGTACCGTGAATATGCTGGGGCTTTGTTTCTCTCCATTGTCATTTATAGATGAAATTCATTTTTCTATGTAATAGTTGGACTTTCAAGGTTGTCATTTCTTATTACAATTGAAATTATTTCATGTTCCGTTTTCATTATGTAAATAGATAATATATTGCTTACTATTTTGACTGCATGGTTTCTGCAGTCCTTTGGAGTTCACTGGTGCCCTTTTGGCAACTTGACACGACTTCCATCATCCTTCGAGTAAGCCGAATGCATACAAACTAATATCTATTTAAATTCACTGATTTGGACTTTTCATTTGCCATATTCTTTTCTTTCTAGTGTTGAAACTGCATTTTTATGCATTATGAGAAAACTTGTATAGGGATTTTTGGGAAGGCTGGTTTGAAGATACTTGGTGGGATTTACTGTATATATTATATCTGTTTCCACATTAATGACATATTATAAATGGTGCAATGAGAAGTGTTAAGCTGAAACTTTATGTGTTTTATTTTAATTTGGGTACCTAAGTAGGTTTATTGAAGTTGAATGTGGTTCAAGTGACTGCTGTTATTAATAAATCTGAACTCTGAAGTCCTGGTTATATTTTAGAACCACCATTTTGGTATGTAAGAGAAAAATGTTAGAAAAACTTGCAGAAATCTAGAGTATCGCATCTTGAAGGCAGTAGCGTCAGTATAAGTTTAGAAGTTAGCTTATTAGTTTCTTCATTAAGTGTTTGTTTCAATAGAATTCCTTCATCTCCAATTGTTAAATCCTTAATTTGACTTTTGATGAGGTAGCCATACCAGGCTTGGGAATCTTCATATACATAATGGACCTGCACAGTTTAGGTAGCAGCAGTCAAATTTTTAGTGAAGCAACTTTAGTTTTAACTATTGCTACCAGTGGATCCAACTAAAATGGAGGCTGTCATCTGTGCTTATTGCACTTTGCCCCCCAATAAAGAGGAGGCTTATTGAGTGTGCTTTGGCAAACGGCTTTTCTAAGGTGACATTGTCTATAAAGCGAGCAAGTAAAGGTGTATATCCACCCTTGGATTTTAAAATCTAGTATGGATAATTGCATGCTGTAGATGACCCTTGTGTTAGGAACTAGGTTAGGACGAATGATAGGGTTAATTGGAGACATAGTAGTCAATCTCGGATAGCAGTGCGGAGCGGCTAACCTCAAAAACGCTATAGCGGGGATAGCGGTAGCAGGATGACCGCTATTCTGAAGTTTTAATGCACACACATACATGCTGAAAAATATAAAATTAATATACAAATTTGGAACAAAACAAAAAAGGAAAACCCAAATTAGAGAAGGAAATAAATAACAAAAAGCAAAAGGTGCACGAGGAGCAGCCATTGCTTCTACTTGAAGCTTTGAAATTTGAAATAGAACAAAGTTGGGGAATCAAAACAGAGAAAGAAATAGAAAAAACAAAGAGAAAAGAGAAGAAATGAAAGGAGAAATGAGAGAAGAGCTGACAGGAGAGTTGAGGGGTTAGGGTCTGTGAGAGGGAGGGACAAGATTCAAAAAATAAAGGGGGCTGAAATCCCAATATTCCCCCCCTCCCTCCCTAAAAGCCCCAAATGTTAAAAAAACAAAGGGCATATTCAGAATTTTTAAACAGAACATAATAGCGGCCGCGATTTCTGACCGCTATTCGCCGCGTGACAGCCGCGACACTGAACCGCAATGCTACAGGGTTGCCATAGCGGAATTGCACTGTTATGCCGTGATAGCGGCCGCTATTGATAACTATGGTTGGGGATTAGAATTCATTTCTGTTAATAGGGGATTAGGAAGAATAGAAGTAGTGATAAAAGGGGAGAGGGGGAGTTAGCTAGTCAGTTGGTTGTTGTGAAAAGGAAGTTGAGTGGGCAACTCCAGATCTCTCAGCTAACTGGGTAAGGGTGAGATTCTCCATACAACAACATATCAGTTCTGTATCACTTTCATGCTGGGGCAGAGATTGGTTCTTTAGTAATAAGGATTATGGTTATGCTTATACCTTATTTTCTGGTCTAGTTCAATCCCCATAATCTCTAGGAATAACAAACTTTGAAGAACCCTCTCCCCCCGTTGCGAAAACCACCCACCCCCCTTTCCTCTTCTTGGATGTTTATTCAACTCATATTTATGTTCCTGATTTTTTCCCAGGGAAGGGGAGTTCTCATCAAATGCATGTAAGATCACTTTTCTTGCTAATCAGTGTCCCCATTTTTTATTTTGATGCTTGCACTGTACTGAATCTATTAATTTAATGGAATGACGAGATGCAGATCATGATATATTGGGACAACATGCCATATTTGCGGAACATACAGCAGTATCATCTGCTAGTCATCCTTGTCCATATATTGCATACTTTGGACCAATACATCCATCCTCTTCCAATTCGGGTGGAGCTGTATCAGAAGCTTCAAACTTCAACCATTGGAATGGCTCATCTGTGCCTAGTGACATGCCAACCTCCTACACATTTCCTGCTGTGGATCTTCATTATCACAGTTGGGAACACCATTCCCCTCCCTTCTCTACAGCAAGTAGTCGTCTAGTTACTGGTGATCAGCCATCAGTATCACCTGGTACTCAAAGGCCAGCCAGGGGTGGTTCGGATGTACCAAGATCAGGATCTTTTGTGCATCCCTTCGTTGTTGGTCACAGGTACCTCTTTAGAGTCAATGTGCCTCAGTAAAAGACATTTGTTTGCATGAGTGTATTACATGCTCAAATGTAATTTGAATATTTGATGCAAGCTAAGCCGTAATATTTATTTTGCTCATTCTATTAAATACAAAATGAATTTTGGTTATATAGACTAAATAGATAAAAAAGGATAGATCTCAGAATCTTCACTAGCTAGTGAAAATTTGCATAGGTCATGTAATTGATATTCAATGCATTTTTATTTGAGCTACAACATTCAATGCATTATTTTCTGCAGTTCTGCTGCCAGAGCGGGGAGCTCAGTTGCTTCCTCAATGATCCCTCCTTATCCTGGTAGCAATGCTCGGGCACGTGATAGAGTCCAGGCTCTTCAGGCATACTATCAACCACAGCAACCTCCTAACTCAACCACAATGCGGACACCTATTGCTTCTGGAACTCGAAGACCGAGCAGTCATAGCGGATCAGCTCAGTTAGCACCGATGGCCACATCACCCGACCAAAGTGGTGGCTTCTTTCTTATCCCACCAAGTTTGTCAGGACGCAATTTTCAAGAAGAAAACCATCTACCAAGTCACTTCCATGCTTGGGAAAGAGACCACATGCCTTCGTTTTCTTTGAGCCATGTTGATAGAGATTCAGGTTGGAGAGCATACCACCAAGCCACCGGTAGGTCAGACCCAGGTAGGTCCAGCAGCTTTCGGTTAAGGCATGGATCAGATAGGTTGCCTTCACAAAATCGGTAATACACTTTTATCCTGTTCACTGTGAAGCAAACTACCATTACTATGGAAAATCAGAACTTATGTATGCTTTGAGAAATGTTACATATTGCTTTGGCCTTTGGGTCTGTCATGTTATGACAGTATATACTCTGGCTGGTCTTGGAATTGATTTTTCTGGCAGCCACGTGGCAGTGTGATGGACATTTGCTTCCTCTAGTTTATTTGCCTCGGTGGGCATAAAATAAGATGGTATGTCTAGTTGGGGAAATCAGGTTTTTGGAAGAATTACTAGGGCGTTGTCATTTCATGTGATAAATCAGGTGGATGAAAGCAGGTGTGGTTGGATATGTAGTGGGTCAACAACTATTTATATTTGATGACGCTCATGCAAATGTTTGTATTGAGAATACGAGTAATTTTACATCTACCCCGTGGCGCGAGTGATTTGTAAACTATTGTGCAAGAATTGAGCCAAGGTATGACGGACTCGCATGAATGAGAACTACCATACCTCAGAATTTTAAGTTCAGGGCTGGTTTCTAAAAAATAATCGTTGGTTATTATCTTATAAAATACTATTACATAACAAATAACTACAAGCGGTTAACATGCAAGTCTTTTATTTTGTTTTGCTTTCTTATTATTTCTGTTCATGCTGTGACGTTAGGTGGCGCGTGCCACAAAATCTCTTGAACCTATGTGGCCTAGTTCTATTTTCCTTAAAAAGATCTTGGATTCTTAAAAAGTTCTTGAGTATGTATTTAATGTTTACTTAACAATATTTTATGAACTTGAATTTTATCAATCAAATTGTTAAGTCGTAATTTTACAATTATATATGTTAATTTTTAGATAAATTAATAGGCTTAATTAAGTTATTCGTCTTTGAAAAAGTTATTTAATTTGGATTTAGTTATAAAATATTTTTTGAGGTATAGTTGCTATTTTTTTTTTCACAAATGATTGTTTTTAGCCTTTTAATGAACGTGATCTAATCAAAAGTTGATGCTTGATAATATTTCTTTAGGACTAAATAATAACTTTTGAAAAAAAAAATATGAACTATACAAGAATAAGTTTGAATTGTATAGTTTTTATATGGATTAAATACTTAACTAAGTTAATTTAAATATTTATGAGTATATAATCTTACAGAAAGTTTTTTCATTTATTTTTTAACAAATATCTTAAATGTTAAAATAAAATTATTTGATGAAGTGTTAATTAATTTTAAATTTTATAAAATTTGTAGACTTAATATATTTATTAAAATTTTGTTAACTATAGTTAGCTTAACAAAAGTTGATAAATGTAAAGTTATTCAAATGAAGCTAGTTAAGATTTACTCTTTGGTATATTTACAATTACATGTCGAGCTCGTTAAAAATATTAATAACCCAAGTTTTCTGCGCTGCTAGCAGACAGCATTGTAGTCAAAAGACCCGACGACCTCCTTAGATATCAAGCATCTTTCTCGTTACAGTAATGCTTAGAGATGTCTTTGTTACTTCTTCCTTCGCAAAACTCTTTGCTCCATCTCTGGCAGGGTTACAGGTGACACTACCTCCATCAATTCAATCTCCACGAAAGCTTTTGCCTCTTTCACATAGTTGTAGTCTTCAGCCATGGGTTACATTTTTGCTTCTCCTCTGCAAGCACCTTCCCCATGTGCTTGTGCTTTTATAAACATAGCCTCCAATTTCTTCGTTGTTTAAACTTACATAATCATCTCTGCCATAGCTTTGCTATTTTTTACTCTCTTTTTTTTCCAGATTCTTCTCCTTCCTTGGACATGGTTCATTTTCTACGATTTTTACCTTGTTGGAGTCAAGCTGTTTTCATCCACAAGGCTGAGGGGTCAGAAAAATGTTTTGACGAGACAGAAATGACCCCAACTTGGTGAGACCAAACATCATAAAATAAAGAAGGGAGCTTCCATAAAAGAATGCCATTTGTATTTCAATTAAAATTAGAATTTCACCTTGTTAAAAGGTCACATTTAAGTCTCGTCACATGTTATCTATATAAAACTCTGATTTTAATTGAAAAACATTAAAGGTGACTGTGAAACAATCGATTAATTATGAGTAAAATATGTTTAACGTCTATAAACATGTTAAAATTTGGTTTGTGTAAAAATATTTGTTTTATTCCCTACAAATTGTATTTTTAAAAAATGGCTCTTACCACTGTACATTAATGATGTGCTATGCATTTAAATCTACATTTGATATGTTATCCCATAATGTTTGCTGGTGTCATATCTAAATACATATCATGTGATATGACGATAAGAACCATTTTTAATTTTTTTAGAATTTAAAAGGACCAAAACCAACAATCTTTTTTTTTTTTTTTTGAAAAACTAAAACTAATTTTTGATATAAAGCAAATATAAAACTAATTTTTATGCACAAAAAGCTTAGCTTTAAGCCTTTAAGTTAAGGTGGATTCATCGATAGACACAAACTATGGTAGATACCTCTTGAACTCGAGACTAGAAGAAACAAAATTAATTGTATAAACTAATTCAAATATGTCAATATCTAAACACGGCATATGATCCTTTCTTTACTCTTCTGATAAACTACAGCGACAAATACAATGTTGGACTATACTGCTCCAACATACCAAATACACCACGACTGAATTGTTCACAATTTAGGAAATTTCATATGATATATCCATCATCATACAAGTAGGCTCTGTATCGCCATTAAAGATATTTACAATCATTTCCCCCCACCACCGAACAAGACAATTGCAGCATTTATTTAATGAGAAAACCTTTTACTGAAAGAAAAATGATTACAGAAATTTTCTGGTTACTCTCCATGGTACCAAAATTAATCAGGATCCAATTCCTCTCCGTGTACATAGGAATAAGATCCTTTGGTTTCATTTTCATTTGAGTGAAATAGTGGATAGTCTGTTTCCTTCGCTTAAGCAAATTGCAAATCCTGTCCTTCCAATTTCATTTTCGTTTTTTGAAAGAGTGCATAGGGGAGTGAGTTGCTGGTTGCTCTCACTTTGACTTTTCTGCAGGTTCTTTGAATTACATTTAGTTTTCTTTGGAAGGACTGAGAGAGGGAGTTTTGAGGATGGGGAACGTTGTAGACATTTTTCCATTGAGGAATTGACATCACATTTGCCAAGCATTCCTAGCTGGGAAAATGACTCCGGCAACGTAAACTTAAATTGAGCCACCTGACATAGAGTTGGAAACTCTGCTACTGATATGATAATAAGGGTGCGGGTTGGAAAAACAACTCAAAGATGAGGTTATAGATGAAGTTGATTAATGTGATCTTGCTGATTTAGATCTTACTCTTTGCTGTAACAAAAATTCCAAGGAAAACACATTTCCTAAACCAATGACAGAAATGTAATCGTACTGCTTGGCTTTGGACAGTAGTCAGTATAATTCGTCGTTGTCTTTGTTCAACAGTGACATAAGTGGTTCAAAACCCACAAGCATGTAAATATCATTTCAATTACATATCTGCCAACCAATGATCCCAATAATTTATAAAATTGTGAACGGGTTCATTGCATTCTCTGTGGCAGTAAAGTCGGGCTCCAGAAGTTTCACCAGGTCTCTAGCACTCTTGGCTTCCCGATTGCAATGTACAACAGGAGCGAGCATTTCAGCAAATCTCGAACAGATTCGTTTATGCGAATACAAATTTAGCAAAATTCCCCACCTTCTAAATCACTTTTGCAGAAGCTTAAACTAATTTCAAATTGTTTAACCTGAACGGTTGTGTTTCAATGTAAACTAGAAAGGATTCAGATCCAATTAATAATGAGTACAGTATTATGCATCAATAATTTTACTTCACGTTTTCTTTTGCTCAATTTTGACCGTATCAGCATTCAAAACAGAGTTTGTCTGGTTAACAGAAAACAGATGAGCATACACAAATTCTTTCTCCCATTAATCTATAATTTGTAAACCTACTAATTATGGAAAGGAGTTTTTTTGTCTATTTCACTGGTTAAGTGTATAGAGCACTCCCGGATTAAATAGAATCCTAAGAATTCCACCGGCTACCCACAACAAAATCTTAGGTAAAAATGAGCATTAAATCCCACGAGAATGCGATAATTAAGCAATCCAATATCATAGGGTTAGACAACTAAACGCTCTGACTAAGTTGGAATGTAGCCCAGCCAGAGTTGATGATACAGATACATTTCAGTTCTGGTTCCCAATATCCACACAGATACATTTCAATTCTGGTTCCCAATATCCACATAAAATTTTAAATGCACAACAGGTTTGATTCACGGCTTCATCTATCAATTTAAAATCCACTATAGGTAGCAGCATAGCTAAATTGGACCTTAAATGGGCTAATGTTCAACTTAAATTAAAATCCAGCACATAAAATGCATGCCCAGTAGCGATCTCTAGAGTCAACAATTTGGCTGCATTCAGATCTCACCTGTCATCAAGATCAAAGAACATTTTAAAAAATAAAAATTGGAAATTTCTAATCTACTACATGAAAGGTTAGCAGTTTAATGACAATTAACTTACTCAGGCCAAACGAGATTATGATGGGCTCGTTGGACTTTAGCTAGAACTGCGACTCTGGTGAGGTGGAGGCTGCAGTTCACAAATCATGTCAAAGGACAAGATCATGCAAATGTCAAGAAAAACTTTGTACAACTGTGCTCCACTCCTCCTGTTTGTAAATAATCTTAAGCAATGCTAGTTAGATAATACTTACGGATGAATATGGAGATCTGGATCTTGAATAGGATCTGCAAAATTTTTTAATGAACAAAACAATTCAATATCCACAATGATCCACGAGCCCAATATTCCACATTAAAGTTACCATAACCAAAACGAAGAAATAAATCCACCACAAATCTTCAGCAGCATCCAAGTGGAAAAGCAATTGAACCCAGTATCATACGTCTAGTCTCAATAAGTGTTAAAAATTCTACTGTCAGCAGTACATGATATCTTGAACCAATTACAGGGAAGATATAGCCAATCCAATATAGGATAATAAGAGAAATCCTAACGAGAAGGATAAGATCAACCCAGAACTCAGAGCACAGGTTATGTTGTAGTTTTTTGAATGTAACACTGCTGATTTGCAATGGTTGGTACCAATAGCATTTAGTTCTTGGTGATCCAGCTTTTAGATTGCAACTCATCCATCTACTGTCATCCAGTCTACAACAATCGCAGACCATGCCTTTAATCAATATATTATTACCGTCATCATTAGTCACAACATTAAGGTTTTCCACAGGTGCTCATCAACAAAACAGTATTACCTCAAACCGCAAAGTTGCAGGCATTTGAGCACCACATGCCATCAAGATCCTAACATGCAGTTCCCAGGTCGCCGCAAAAGGCCACATCTAAAAACCAAGAGTCAACCCTAATGATCATTGCATAATTAGTGGCCAAGCTGACGATCCACTCTACCAATGCCCCCTCCACCTTTCCACATATGGTGAATTATGCTGACAAGTCTATGGTACAGCATTAGGTTTTATGAGAAGAACAAAGTGGAAGGCATTTAATAAAAATTTTACTTTCAGACAATTAATTGGGAAATGTAAGGAAACAAAATGTCCCCTCCAACTAGCACAAAAAGGAAAAAGAGAAGTTCATAAACTTGTGACACAACTAGGAATATCAGAATATTCTAGAAAAGCAAAACATAAAAAAATCCAAGCCATCCACAAAAGAAACTGAATGCTACAATAGGACGTGGATCCAAACAATCCCATAAGTGATGAGAAATTAAAATTGGAACAAAGGGATGCCATTATATCTTTATAAAATGTTCCAATGAATTTCATTTCAATCAAGAAATAACAAGCTCATAAATGCAACAAGCAGAGATCCTACTGAATCAAGAGAAATATGGAAGGAAAAGAGCACTTCCATAGAAATCCTCTACACCTATGTACGGATGTGGATAGCAAAGAGAAACTTCAAAAAATGTAGAGACATAGTTGAAGCTCGGAGAACAAAGGTACAGTAACTAAATATGAATAATCTTAACTGTTATCATAGTTCCTGGCTCATCTCAGCATCTTCCCAGTCATATGAGCCCCTAAGGTGTGGGTACAAAATCACCACACATGCTATTATAGTGTAAAATAATTACCCAATAGTTATACCTCAGTGACCCTCTGCTACTCAAAACACAATGACCCAAGCCAGAAATTGAAGACCATAAGAAATAAACTATTTTTGCATGTATAATTAACAAACTAAGTGTCCATCTCTCCTTTTTTGAGAACTGGGAGAAGGAATACTCAATATCAAAAGCTAAAATGACGTTTGGCCTGTCCAACGTAATTTAAAAATAAGCTAAAAGATAGAGCGTGGCTTGAATACTGCCAGGCAGATACATGAAAACCAAAACAAATAAAAAGTCATGGCTTGGATAAAGGTTGACAAAAGTTGATTTGTTTACGAGAGAAATGATGTAATCAACCATGAATAAACAATACTAATAATAGAATCGTAAACAACAAAACCAAGCTCTCCTTTCTCAACCAAAACTTAAATAGACAAAAAAAGCATAAAGATTGAGTGAAAAGTAGTAATAAACATCACAGAATTCACCAGAACAAATTGTCTTGTTCCTGTTGGTGCAGGACAACCAGAGTGTGCAAGCAGTCTCCCCCCTCTCTAATTATTTGAATGTCTCATCGGAATCATTGTCAAGTTGAACACAATGTCAGACAAGAGACAAAAAGTCACATAGCAAAGAATTTTATCCAAAATTATCAAGCATTTAGTTTTGATCCACCATAGATGTATGTTGTCAAGTTCTACATTTTAATGACATGTGATACTACCTAGTTGGAAAACTGTTTGACACATTCCAAGAGAAATCCCTAGTCACATTAACGGAGTGATACTCATTAACACAATTTTAAGCAAAATTATCAAGCATTTAATTTTGATCCACCATAGATGTAAAATATGATGTCATGTTCTATAACACATGATATTATCTGTCTGGAAAACCATTAGCACATACACTCCAAGAGAAACCCCTTAGTTACATTAACGAACTGACATTTGTTCCCTAATAAGGTTACCCAAATTCTAACATACATATCATGTAGAAGCATAAAAAGGAAAAAAACCTAAAATTTCACATCACAAAGCATAAAATTACATCTATATCAGACTTGGTAGACACTAACCTTGAAGGAGATATTGAACGCTGATAACGCTTTGCTTTTGGAGACAAACTGCAAAAATTAGAGCTTAGTTAATTCATCAAAGCTCCAAAAACACATGCTAAATCACTGTTCATCAAGGCAACCAAAGTGAACCTTCTGCTCCTGTCACTATAGCTGTAACTACGGCTGCGGCTTCTACTTCGTGACAAATATGGACTCTGGCTGGGACTTCTAGAATAGCTCCTCCTTGAATCACGACTGGGACTTCTAGAATAACCGCGATCATATTCCCTCACCTGGACCAGAGATACAGGTCAATGAAAAATTACATATATAGAAAGCACAATGTAACTGAATATAATATCCACCCACCCGTATGTATGCCCGAGAAAAGGCATTTCGGAACTCTGAGTCATCAAGTTTCTTGATCTGTAGGACAGAACAAAGTTATTGAAGCAGAACAAATGTAGTAGTTAAAAAGATGCCAGTCATAAGAAATCCAGCTCAAGATGACCAGGCAAGTAAAACCCAGAATCTGATAACTATTGGATTTATATAGGTTTAGAACACTTACAGCATATTTCATATCATCATAATTGGTATAATCCACTATCCCAGTCATGCCTACATACAAATTATAACAAGGATTAGAACCATGTTATAAAAAATTTAACATATAAAAAAGCCTATGAACACTAGCAATTATAGGAAGCTGCAACAAAAAGACAATTGTCATCGTTTACTAGACTTTTTGTTCCCAAAATAAGTCATGCATTTACATCAATATAATCATTTGAAATTACCAGATAAGATAATTTATAACTAACCAAAATAAACATTTTAGTACATGTTTGGATTAGCTTATTGTGCGTTCATACAAGCTTGTCATTAAAATGCGGCATAGAAAACTTTCAGATGAAAACCATTTCTGTATTGAACCAAACATGTGCATTGTCTAAATCGATAGTTGTTTTTTTAAATATTTACCCCGAAGTCAATGCATAAAGAAAGAAAACACTTTCCCCATTCTGCATGCAATGTTACTCTCAATCACCTATAATCAAAGGACTGGGGCAAGGGTGCAAGAGGCCTATGTTCTTAAGCACCTCTCAGCATTAACCACTTCGTGATCAAATTAAACTCATACCAAATTAGATCATAAACCACTTACCACCACGCTCTCGAAAGACTTGTGAAAAACACACATCACCAGCTTTACGCATGTGATCCTAATCATTTAAATCTCAGAATCAGCAAATAATGTTTATTGACTTTCAATTTCAAAACATAAAATGTCATTAATCTACTGCATGGAAAAAGTACGAGTCAAGCCATACTTTCAGGTCTTGCCATGAAGCAGAAGGAGGTAATCCAGTGACCAGAACTGCAAACAGAATAAAATAGGGTCAACTAAAAACATTCTCTTTTCAGTTGGAAATACAAAGTAAAACAAAAAGAAACAGCAATAAACTATTGTACAAAGATACCAAGCTAAAGAAAAGAAAACATAAATTAGAAAATTATGCATACCACGATAGTCTGAACGCCTGGAAACTCCACGGCTACCACTGCTACCACTATAACTACTGTAACGGTCTACTGATGATGAATATCCCCGCCCACCATGAGCAAGTTCAACCTACAGCAACAAATTATGAGAAGAAGTTCATTGGAACACTACATAGCATAGAGACAAATAATATACAAGGGAATGAAAGGAAAATATACGAACTCGTAACCGAAAACCGTCGAAATTGTAACCATCTCGATAGTGAATTGCATCTTCAGCATCACGAGCATCCTCATACTGTAATATAATATTCAATATGCATAAGCAGAAGAAGGGATAAAAAAAATATGAGATAAATAGTTCACTTCCTTACAAATGAAGTATAGACATACCTCAACAAAAGCATAACCTGGTGGTCTTGGGGGGATCTTCAAATCAATGTCAACAATAGGACCATACTGCAATTAGACAGGGAAGAGAACAATTTGTGAACTCTTCATCTACAACTAGATTTCATAAGGAATCTTGTGGGTATGGGCATTACCAAGAAAATAAATGAATGGAGAAAATAGTGCAGATAATTGATAGATAAAAATATTGATTTTTGTACTGCCTTCTGCTACCATAATTATGTTGCTAAACAAACCATCACATGTCCATCTACTGCTAATAAAAAAATAAACGTGATGGTAACATAAAGTTTATATTAGCTGTGCATCTAATCTAAAGAATTAAATATAAGTACCTTGTAGAAAAGATCCTCTACTTCTCTCAAGCGAATATCGCCAGGAAGATTTCCAACATAAATTGTGCGACTTGAACGGCCACTCATTTTTCCCCCTAAAGAATTGTTTAAATTACACAGTTATCAATTTTCCCATTTGCAATATGTAAACAACTTAATTAAGTCAGCTAAAACATAACCAAAGAATTCATAATTTAACAAATCCATGCTTAGTAAAATCACTAAAACAATCGAATAATATAATACACACAAACACATGCCTGAGCTGTCTCGAACAGGGAAATGAAACAACTTATCGGTTATAGGAAATATATCATATTCAGCCATCAAGATTATATTTCCGTTTAGAACTTTCTGTTTTGTTCGGCAGTTTAATGAAACAGAACAGAGCAGAAAACAATCGTCGCCAATAAAAAATATATATATACTCAGTAACCTCTCTCTCTCAATATATACTCAGTTAGCTTCTTTCACTGTTATCTTCGTGATTAATTGCACCAAAAAACTCTCGGAGTCATATAAGTCCCTATGAATTCTACCACTTTCCCTGTTACATAATCACTTATCGATCCATGGTCGTATAAGTTTCGAGAAGAATAAATGAAAAAAAAAACGGCAATAGAAGAGCCAAACCCTAAATTTCTATAAGGAAGTATAAGAGCGAGCGAAAAATCAGAGGAAGAATCAAACAAGCGACTGAAAAATCTTGCAACAACAAAAAATTGAGAATCGTGAGAGAAAAGTGATACCTGAGATGAGAAGATGATGAGAGAAACGAATGGAAGTTGAGAATCTTCGGTCTTGAGCTGAGGGAGAATAAGAGCACACGAAAGTGCATAACTTTTGTGGTGACACGTGCACGCCCCACAATAACCATCAAATCTAAGCCGTCCACGCGTTTTCAGAACTTCAGCTTTAGATGCTTTAAAAAAAATAATAATAATTTACTTTTCAACTTGTGATATCTTGATTTTAGCAGATCAAGTAATTTTTCAACACAAATATTTATATCCTTTAAATATTATTCTGATATATTTAAATCATAAACCTTAAACCATGTACTTAATTAGGTGGTTATTTAAATGTATTAGTTACTTTTTAAATGTAAACTGTTGTTCAAATTAAAAATGCAGACTATTGCATAATTAAATTATAATAGTAGGACTAATTTTACAATTATAAAAAATGCACCATTTTATTTCCTTTTGATTTTAAGATTAGTATAATTACTTTTAATAGGATTGATTTAACTGATTTATATTTTTTGTACTTTTTTTTTAAACAAGTCGATATAATTTAAAGGTTTTATTATCATGCTTATAAAACTTTTTGAAAAAAAATGAATAGTTTAAACTCTGGTGGTGGAATTTCATTGTTACTGAGTTATTTTGTATGGCTATTCCATACGTCACCCATTTAATCGTATAAATTTATAATTACAAGAGAACTAATTGAATATATATATATATATATACTTGTACGGTTGAAATGAAAATGATGATTAGAAATGAAATATTTTAATATATTTCAATGATTTGTTTTGAACGTTAATAACAATTAATATAACTTATGTCCACGTGTTTAAAAGTACACATTTTAATTTAAATGCAATGACTTATTTGAATTTTTTTAATAGCGTAAAAAACATGATTAAAAACTCAAAAGTTTGTTAATCTATCACTTAAATCATAACAGCATGCAAAATAAAATTATTTGAAATTATTCATATTTACAAATTTATACACAAAATACAAATTTAAATGTTTTTTTGCCTATTTGGTAATTGAGTTGGTCGAACCAGAAGAGACCTGGTTTGGTGAATACAGTGGGCTAATAAAAAGTCTCTCTTATAAAAACTGTGATCCCGTGCGTCAGCAAATTCAACACGCTATACCTTGTTTCAACCTTCCACCTCGCAGCCAAGGGTTTACAATTGCGAATTCTTATTTGCTTCTTCTTCTTCGCTTTCTTTTATATTCCGATACCATATTCAAGGCCAAACCTTGAGCCTGTCAGCGTGTACCGTTTTATTCCTTTCGTTACTTTTCCTTCTCAAACTTCGCTTCCCTTCAACTCCTCTCTCTCTCACGATACAATGGCCGATGCTAAGATCCAATTGGAATCTATAAGAAAATGGGTCGTCGAGCACAAGCTTCGTACTGTTGGTAAATCTCTCAATACCCTTGTTTATTTCGTTAGATTCGTTTGAAGCTCTTTGCTTTTCTTCGTTTACGGTGATGGGTGTTTCATTTTGTTCTTTTTTTTTTTTTTTCAAAGATGTCTAATTTATATCTGTTTTCGATTTTGTGGTTTTTGCTATGGATATATGGGATTAGGGTGTCTGTGGCTTAGCGGTATTACGGGTTCAATTGCGTACAATTGGTCTCGACCTAACATGAAAACCAGTGTTAAGATCATTCACGCAAGGTTAGTCACAATTTCTGATCTTTTAAAATACTTTTCTGATTAAATATAATTTTCTGGGTTTGTCATGCATACAAGTAGATTCCTTTTTAATGCAATCCATCTTACTGTACTTTTTTTGTGGATGAATCACAGGATCATTCCATTCCCCTCATTCATCCCTTTCCATCTATCCAAATTTAGTCTTGGAATTATATCTTGAATCAACTTGTACTCTTTCCTTATCATCTGTGATTAAATTTAGCTTCAGAACTAGTACTATTTTGTTTCCCTGTTTTATTCACAGTTGCTGTTGCCGTTTCTTGAAAAATTTGCTTTATGTCTGCCATTTCCCTTATTTTTTGTTGTGGTATGATGCCAGTTTCACTGATCCTATGAAGTTAATGTTAATGATAACAATCAGCCAGGCGAATCGAAATCCAAGCCCTTATATTTCTATTCCTCAGATGGCAATGGGATAAATCAATGATTCTCTGGTGTTTAGGATATTGATACATTGGCGTTTTAATTGTCTCAAAACAAACGCTGTAGTTTTTGGTGATTACTTTTTTTATGGGTTTTAGTTTCTGTTTCTTTTTCTATGGAGATGAGCTTTTCAATTTGCTATTACTCCACTGTCTCTGGGATGTAATCCTGTTTGTTGTCTGCTTTCCTTCTCTCATTCCTTGTCTCTAGAATCAAATCATGACAAACAATCCAGTACAAAAAAAAAAAAATCAATTAGAGGGACAGGAAAAGATGATACCATCGTCAAATCCCTAAAGGATATAAGTTGATCTTCGTACGTATTGCAAGTAGGAAACAATTGCCTGCATGTCCATATATATATATATATATGAATAACTGAACTGTGATAGTTCTACATGATATGGGTTTAAAACTTCTCTTCCCATTGTTATTCTACAATTTAATGCAGAGTATAATTTTTCTATTATTATTTCAGGTTGCATGCACAGGCTCTTACACTGGGAGCATTAGCCGGAGCTGCACTTGTAGAATATTATGATCATAAGACAGGAGCGAAGGCTGCGTAAGGAATTCTGGGCAATAAATATATCGTGACCAGAGTTCACTTAATTCTTTATACTTGGGGGATCTTAGTTCTAATCATATCTCATATGATAATTGCAAATTTTGCATACTGTGATCCATTCATTATCGAAGTTTTTACATGCTTGCGGCAGAGTGAATATAATTTCTTCCTTGCTGGGATGGATTAATTAGTATTAGGTGCTTCATACATTTGCTAGCATTTCATGTCAAGTCTTTGTTATCGTGAATAAGAGACAAGCCCCTTGGCTGCAGCAAGATGAGACAAAGATGTTATATTAGTTGTAAACCTTGAGCTGCCTATTGATTTAAAGTTAAGTATAATTTATTTTGATCAAATTAATTATAAATTGATGAATACGATTGAAATGCATGGATAAATTAATTAATTTAAATTATATATTTTCATTGCCAAGTGAAAAAAATTTCATTCCGTTAACTTAAAGAAAAGGAATTTAATTGTAGGGGTCGTAGAGTTTGTAATAAAATACCATTTTATTGCTTTTGTATTCCCAGGACTTCATTCCCATCGGCGATGTTCCCTACTCCGCAAACATCATGAACCACCACAATCAGCTCCAGTCGTGAATCACTCAAAATGTACTTATCTATTCTCATTCCAAATCCGTTTCCCCTGTCCCACCTAAACTTGGTCTTTCCAGCCAACAAATTTGTTGTATGCCACTGTTGTCGAACCCTCTATCCTTGAAAAACCACATCAAATAAGTATGAAATATAATTTTACACTAGATAACAAGCAGTGATGTTTTTAAAAATTGTGAGTGTTGTTGATTTCTAAGAAAGTAGCATAATTCTAAAAACTTGGCTCGGTTTGATCAAATTGATTGGAAAATCGAGTATGAACCAACCTTAATTGAGTTGAATCGGTACCGAGCTAAATAATGGAACCCGTTTTACAAAAAAATTAATGCAAAATTCCATGAATAACATTTAAACAGGTGACCTTAAAATAAAATTTCATGCTTGTTTTAGGGGGGGAAAATGCTAAAATATATTTTGGTTTTCTAATTTTAAGAACTCATAATTTAAAATATTATTTTTCTTACAATAAGATAAGTAAAAAAATTTCCTCAAGCTTATCATAAATAATAGTGACATTGATATATTAAAATTTGGGCAATAGAACGTAAAGTGGTACGAGATGTTTTATCTGAATGTTAAATCAATTTTAGGTTGTGAAAGTAGTAATTTAGGAAGCAGAAAAGGACTAATAAGTATTGTCATTGGTGGACTTATTATAGCTTTTTTGCTAACTCGTTATGATATTGAGCCTGGTCACCTTGATATTGTCATTAACTATAACAGGAAATTATGATCGAAAGATCAAGTAATGGTAATGCAACTCACATTGCTCCAAAATATGGTAAATACCATTGTCCAATTAGTGGAAGAAATGGGGATAGGAAAAGTTAGGAATGAACTCAATATGTTGCCAAAGTTCCAACGCAATAGTCGACCTATTTTTAAGGGAGGTTATGATTTAGAGAGAGAAGAATTGAGACTCTAAAAGATAGAGAAGATCTTTAATATAATGAATTGCACAAATACACAAAGTTACTTTCTTTATCTATATGTTGGAAGGTGAAGTAGAAAACTGGTGGAGAGGTAATGATGATTATGGATGAGACATCATCTATAAATAATCTCATTCCATACTAACTCTAAGTTAAATCCTAGTGAGTACAGGACAAACTATGTTATATTACATCCCTTCAAATGTTTTACATTGTTTAAAACTAGATATAATACATATATATTAAAACTTTTCATAGGTCCTACGGTTATAATTGCAACAAAACAAAAAATGAAGAAGGTGAAATTTATAAAAAAATTCGTGTTAACAAACTTATTACAAATTATATACCTATTTCAAATTATATGCATTGTTAATGAGAATTCACTACTCATTTTTATTGTCATTGTATCCATTGCTGCCTAGTAAATTTAAATTGATACCTAAATAATGTACAACAAAATTTAAAGGGAATGAAATCCAACCTTGAGTCTATATGCCACCACTAGGGGAGCAAAATAAGGGTTGTCAATTTGTCAATTTTAGCTATCATGTATTGTACATTCCCTGTGAAAATAATGGTCTAGGTTACCTATTGACCATCTCTAAGAAAGAACCCTAAGAAAGAACACCATATACTTTGTTAGAAACCATAAAATAAACTACAAAATTGACTAATGGGATCTGAGAATGATTATATTATTTGATGTGAAAGAAAACAATACAGAAGGTGTAACATCTTAAATTTCAGTTTAAATTTCACAAATTTTTGAAATAATAAAATTTTTATTTTTAATTCAAGTTTCATCAACCATTTCAAATAGAAAAAGGGATTACAAATTATATCAAACAGTTGCTACAGGACTTGTTCAAATACAACAGTTTTCCAAAATAATATCCTAAGTCTTATAACAGTTCCATCCACCTCTTCACTGAGTCCGGTGTTGATCGTCTTGATTACCTAAAAAATGAATGTAAGGGTGAGTACATTATACTACCAAACCACAATCAAGCATAGAGTCTCACATTTAACTCATTTCTAATACATTTATACAGATGTAAGTACAAGCAGCATTATCACACCCACAAGCACAATACACAAACTCAAGCATACACACAACAGTCACGCTCACTATAGCATTGTGATCACAGATTTACACCATTAATAGTCGCCGGTTACCCCCGCCTCACGGATACCACGTGGGAAGTCACGGGTCGTTCAGCAAAGATAGTAGTCAAAGGTCTAATCAGGAAGAGAGTGTGTGGCCCGTGGTGCACCCGTTCGGCAGTCGGTGTCACCAGTACTCCCTCTTCCCCATGGTATTTCTACCATCCTCATCTCCCACATTTCCAGTGTATTGCTGAACCATTCACAGCACATTACAACGGCGCTAACACGCCCATTTACACATATTTCATTCACGCATGCAATAGTCATGCTTACACACGGCACACAGCCCACATAACACTCAAATACACTACACTAGGCCCACATTCATTTCACATTACACGACACATAGCCAATATTCATCTATCATGCAACATTTACATACAATCCACATCCATCAAGTTCGGTTCAACACACATAATGTTCATTGCACAAAAGAGTAGGATAGAGTCCCCCCTTACCTTGGATTGACGTCTCACGCGCTAAATCCACCAAGAAGTGTTTCCTCTTACAAATTTCGTCATAAACACATGGAGAAACTCCATGAGAACGTAAGGGAACCACGAAAACAGAGAAAAGGGATGAAAAGTTGAAACCCTAACCATTAAAACCTACCTCTAAGCGTTCCCCACATGGATTCAACCTTCAATCAAGCTCCCAAACGGCTTTGGAGGCAATTAATCGATGGAATAGGACTTTGGGAACGAGAGGATCAAAGGAATTTCTAAGGGAGAAGGAGAAATAACTCTCCCCGAACCCTAACCCACTTTAAATCCTTTTTTGGCCGCGACACTCTCGCTACAGCGATATGCCTTCTCACTACAACGAAAAAACCAGAGAAAACTGAACTCTGGTTTCTACAGAATCTCACTACAGCGAGACTGCATCCAGAAATGCACTCTAAACTGTCGCTTTCTCGCTACAGTGAGACATCTCTCGCTATAATGAGAAGGTGACAGTTTCAGTCCTTTCTCCTAGGGCGTTATCGCTACAGCGAGAGTCCTCTCGCTGCAACGAGAACAGTCTAGTATCACGCCCTGCACTTAAGCACTTAGCCTATTTCAGCCCTATCCAGTCATGCATACACGTATATACATACACATAAAACACCATCATTACGCATCCAAGGTAAATTCATAACATTCATTTACACTTGTATACACACACACACACACACACACACACATATATATATATATATATATGGATTTAGATTTATATAAATAACAATAATTAATATTACAAAATTAGGGGTGTTACAGAAGGAAATACAATTCCACTACCATAGAGTACAACTCCTTTAGAGAAGCTACTGCCCTCTACCTAAAACAAAACTTTCTTGTAAAAAATTAGCTACCTCTCTCTCTCTCCTACTCATTCTTATATACCAAATCTCCGTTCCTCATTGTTTGGCAATTTTGTTACAATTCTTGTCACCTCATCTTCTTTGTCCTTACCCCAGTTTCTCCTTACATACACTTTCTATACCTTGGGCCTTTCCTCATAGTTTAAGCCCACATTTCCACTCCTATCAATGCTCCTTTCTTACAAATGAGACTTATCCTCAAGTCTCAAGTGGGAAAATTGATTTTTGATGTTTCAAATTGCCTCTTCCATACCTTGTCTTTTCTATGGTATTAGTACTTGACTGACACTTGCTCCATGTTTTTTGATAACACGTTTAGCAAGCACTATCTTAAGCTTAACAAGAATTTTAGAATTTGTAGCCAGATCCAATGGAAGTGTCTCCTCAACATTGTTATTACGTACAACTTTTTTAAGGAGTGAGACATGAAAAACATGATGTATTCTTGCTGACACAGGTAACTGTAGTTTGTATGCTACAGCTCCTACTATTGCCAACACCTTGAAGGGACCATAATAATGAGGAGCTAATTTAGGATGAATCCTAGCTCCCAAAGTCAATTGCCCATTAGGCCTCAATTTTAGGAAGACCCATTCTCTTACGTCAAACTGCCTATCCTTCCTTTTATGATCTACTTGATCATTCATGCGAGCTTGAGCTCTTTGTAATTGGTATTTCAATTGTTTGAGTGCTTCATCTCTTTTGAACAGCTCTCTGCGAATAGCTTCCACTTGCACTTCCCCAAGCAGAAATATTGTTAACAACAAAGGTTTTCTTCCATAAACCACCTCAAAATGAGTGGTACCTATAGATGCATAAAAATTGGTATTATACCAATATTCAGCCCAAGATAGCCATTGTGCCCACAGCTTTAGCTAGTCAGCTATGAAGCACCTCAAAAATGTCTCCAAACTGACTGCCTTCAGTTTGTGGGTGATATGTTACACTCATCTTAAGATGAGTCCTTTGCAACTTAAACAATTCGTTCCAGAAAGTAATCACAAAAATAGGATCCCGATCATTGAGTATAGAGGTTGAGACACCATGCAAATAGACCACTTCACATGTAAGAATTTTGGCCAACACCCTTGTAGAATATGGATGTTTTAAGGGTATAAAATGGATGTATTTGGACAACCTATCCACCACTACTAAGATAGCCTCATATCCTTTAGACTTAGGTAGATCCATGATGAAATTCATGATATCTCCTCCCATATTTGTA